GTGATTTAGTGAAGGGTTTCCGTCAGAGAGGGGTTATGAAGGTATGCAAAGCAGCTTGTTTCATTAGAAGTGCACACATGCGGACACACACACACACACATTTGGTCATATATATGACCAAATGTAATTTACTGCATGAAAAAGAAAACATCTATCTCTTCTTTTAGGAGAAAGGCATAATGATCAGAATCATAATGACTTCATTGGCCACAATTGTGTACATAAACTACAGTTTCACTCAAAAGTTTGTATTTAGGAGACCAGTGCTGTCTGAGGGGCCGATGCGGGAAGGTAGGAAAGGATTCTCATTCCACCCCGACAAGATGCCTCCCTGGGCAGCTACCCATGTTGCCCATATCATTAACCACCACTGTTCATCAAGAAATTTAATAACTTATGGTATTTTATTAATAAGTAAAATGACAAAAAAGGCTTAAATACAAATGACTTCCTGACAATAAAGGTAATTGGTAGCACTCCCATTTTTAGAGAATTTAATTTGTGATAAAAGCCAATCACATCAATGCGGGTTACCTATTCTACCCAATAATCATTCCATCTAGGAGTTAGTGATTCTATGTTCACCTACGTTCTAATGTATCCAAAGAACATAAAGCTCAGAACTGAAAATCGCGTGTAATGTTTGACATTTAAAATTTCCAGGAAATTACACAAGATGTTTTAAAACTGCTCACTTTCCACTTGAAGCTTAAGCCAGAGGGAAAGTACCAAAGAAAGAACTGCTTTGATGTTGATTAGAAATTGGTTCAAAGTTTCCAATGGAAATACAGTTTTAATTAGGCTGATAGTACCGACAAATGAGGAAGTATTCAAAACGTGTTCTGTCTTTTCTCTTACAGTCATACTTTCTTACTTCTCATTCTGTGATAGAAGAACCTATGTGGCAGTAATGTCTGTGAAACGTACAACGATATGGTTCTGGCTGAAAGTTTCCAAATCTCACCCTTTCACAGTGAAGCTTGGATTCTTCAGGCATTACTTGTGCAGCGATAGCAGTTTGGCATCCTGGCTGTTCTTAGATCAGAGTATGACTAATGCATGTGTTATGACACGCAGTGGTATTTACATATTCATTTGTGACATTAAGAATTCCTCCCCACTGCCTCAGGTGTTCCTGGAATCTATGTGGAACAGTAAGAGGGCAGATCCCCATGTCCATGCTAAGTGAACCTGACTGGGCAGACCAGCTGATAGTACATTTTAACCTCTTTTAGATGTTTCTTGATAGAAAGAAGATGAGTTTTCAGGGGAGAGAGGCTGGGTGTAGTCACATAGAAGACTCTCGGCTCTGAGTCACTCTGGCAGTGTCTTTAATAAGGGCGGAAAAGCTGCTGTGTTCTCATGCAAAGGCGAGCAGATACTTAGCTGGAGGTTTGCGGGGGGTCAACTGTGTTATATGGACCTATATAGTAGAAGAGAAATACATCTATGAACCCTGACAAGAACACAACCGAGAAGACAAATATTCTTTGATTTAATTTTAGCATTTAAGTTTTTTTTTTTTTTTTTTTCTCACAGCAATGCAGTCTAAAACATCACTTTGATGTGAGGATCACAAAGTTAATTTCTAATTTCTAAATATCGAACACATCTGCAAGAATGAAAGCCACTCAAGTCTAAATTACTAACATGGTTTGCAAGGGACATTGCTAACATTGCATAACATAACATTGCTTGGGTATTGATTTTAATATCTAACAGCAATGCTCTTTTTTTATTAAGTTTGAGCATTTTCATGTGCAAACATGTGATCATGTGGAGTTTATGTTCTCACAGATTCCAAATGTGATTATAATTTAAAACACAGGTAAAAAAAAATATTATAGCAAAAATGTTTGACGCAGTGAAAGCGTCTTTTAAATGTGGAAAATTATGTAAAACACATGTGCAATCTTTCAAATTTTGTGGAACGTTTTTCCATATATCTCAGATGGTTCGGCACCATTTTGGTTCAATTTAGGAAAGAGGCTGCTACACCCGTATAGGTGTAGTGGTCTATACACTTATACAGGTATCACTACACCCATAGTAGTGGCGTGAAAGGATGGATCATTACATGTGAAATTCATAGGGGGTTTTTATGTTTGTTTTGTTTTCTTTTTTCATCACAGTTGGAACGGTTATCTTACCTGGGTCGGAGCCTTACAAGTTGAAGACTTCAAGAATTAATTGTGTGACATGCTGCTGTAGAAAAAGATGAAGATAAAGACTGATTTCTTGACAATGTTGAAATTATTTTCCAGGAAACATAACAAAGCACACATGTCCTGCATATATTGATGAATTAAAATGGCAGAAGGAAAATTTAGAAAAAAAATCATACTGGAATAGACAGAAAACCCGAAATACAGCCTGGTCTTGGTTTTTCATGGTTTTTAATGAGAACTGGTGAAATAAATTTCAGTTCTGGTCCCAATTCCCGAAACCGTGAATTTCAAAGAGGGGATATTTTCAACATGCTTTCATGCTGAAGAGAGCCTGAGGGACTAAAGAAACAATATGAACTGCCTGCCTGGCAGTATGCCGGAATGTCACTTTGGTGTAAGTGTTGTTATTGGATATGCTTTTGAATGCATTATTAATATGTTGTAGAGGTTAGTTCATTTTAGTGTGTTTTAATCTTCTAAACCTGGGGAAAAGTATTGCTTATCTTGTGCTAAATGTAGTTGATCTTTGATAAAGTGAAAGTGACAAATGTTCCCACACATATATTTATCTTGTTTTTGTTTTTTTTATACAAAGCTCATGTTCAAGGTCCCTTTATAAAGAAAGCTTAATCACACTGCAAAATGTTGAAAAGTGTGTTTTAATACTTCTTTTAATATTTACACCAGTAAATATTATTGAAAATACCTGCATATATTTTAGCAGAGCTGTGCAATGGCACACCAAACAGTTAAATAACTAACATAGTCACATTCTATAACTGTGTGACTATTTGTTAAAGGAAACCTAGAGAATAAAAGCAGAAAATAACCAGTTGTAATTTCAATTAATATCTTTTCCAAAGGATTTCCTGCCCAGTACATTTTGCTGGTGGCAAATCAGATTTAAATGAACTGCCTATCACATGAAAGCCAATACTTGAGACACGGATGACATTTCTTATAGATAACTGGATCTGCGTGTCAGTCACATCAGATGCCTTGGATATCCAGCACACAAATCCAAGAATGCTTCAGTTTGTTCCTGTGGCAGATGTTATTAAAACAAACCCAAGGGCATGCTTTTGGCCCATTCATTAGAAGATTTCATCAATTAACACACTCCGCAAGGGTGCTTGGAAATGGCTCAGAGCAGTTGTCAAAGCCATATTTAACACTTCAGTTTTTATCATCATACATGTAGTACACTATTTAGATGACTTTAAAGAAATGAAGAAAATATCCGCCATGCACGTAGTGTATTTTTTAATCAAACTTTTAGAAAAAGTGGGTTCTGCAAATTCTGAAAGTACATATATGTAACTAATGCACTTAAAAACTTACAGTTACAGGCAAGATTAGTGAGTGGAGTCATTGTTTTGTGGAAAATACTGCAACACTAACAATATGCATGTTTTCATTTATATATACTGTATATCTATCTATCTATCTATCTATCTATCTATCTATCTATCTATCTATATATCTATATCTATATATATATATATATAGATATAGATATATAGATATATATATATCTATATATATATATATATATATATATATATATGAAGTTCTGCTGTGGTGCCCTAAAGCTAAAAGAAACTGGAGAGAACTAGAGCCCTCCAGTGGTGGTAGTTGTCATGAATTTCAATATATTCATAGATCTGTGAACATCCATTATTTACAAGAAACTGTCTTTCTTCCTTTTTTTGTCTTTTCTCTCTTTCTTTCTTTCTGGCCCTCCCAGCCTGCTTTGTGACCCTTACCATTGTCATGTATACAAGGCTGGGAAGGGCTGCTATATGCAGAAAACACGTCTGGCTAAGTGTTGGGTGTGGTAAGGTCAGAAAGATCACCATCTCCTTTAATTACCTTTCAGGCCTCCAATATTTTGACTCACCTACAAAAGCAAGTGTATAGAAGGTGGTAGGTGGGGTAGGTCTGTAATACAATAGGGAGGGTAACGACTTGTGCAATGCTAAAAGAAAACAAAAATGCAAACCTACACTAAGTTCCCTGCAGCACTGGAGGAATGACAACTATTTTTGTCAAATGTTTTACCGCAAGTCGCGCAATCAATATTCCTTCCAACTCTAAAGTTTAGGTCGGAAATAAAATTTAAAAAAGCACAGGTGTTAAATGTTAAAATGTTGTTTTTCACCTATTTAAGAAGATGTTGTGCTTTATGTAATTATCAGTCAATAAAATGACAAACAGAATCCTGTGTCACACTTCTGTGTTTGATTGTTGCCTTGACTATAATTTACCAGCCAATTGTTTTTTTTAAAGAAATAATTCATGATTTAGGAATCTTTTAGACATTTTATCATAAGTGCATGTAACAAATCAGCAATCACTATTTTATTTTACATTCTCACGTTTGTTTTCTTTCTCTTCTCATTTAGAGGTTCGGCTGTCAGTCATTTGAAGAGAACTGGAAGGATAGAGAAGGAACATCGTTCAACTCACTTCTATCTGAGTGGCCAACAGCTGTGATACTCTGAATGGATATGAAATTCATTTTGGGCAAAATATGAATAGCCATCACTGTATGCAAGCTTTTAGAATCTTGGGTTGGTGTTCGTGTTGCAAAAAAAAGCTGTCTTTTATGCTATGCAAACTTTTATTTTGCATATATCCCCCACCTTTTCCAACAAGCAAGCCGAGCTAAACAAGAAATAACAGACTGCAATTGAAATCAGCCACTTTCTTTGTCTTCGTGCAGAGTGCTCATCTGGTAAGAATTGCTTTGAAATTTAGATACATCATTTGAAAATTAAAGAAAGCACAATGCAAGAAAGACTGCACTTGTGCAAGAAAACAATAGTGTCCTATGCAGGGTTTGGGATGATTTATTTAAAGGTTTTCTCCTGAGGCAGTTCCAGAATATGTGTCCAAAACTGGTCATGAAGCAGGAAGGAGGTGGCGTTTCACATTGTGTTTCAATAAAAAAGAGAAAGAAAAACAGAGCAGGATACAAATATAAACCACAAAGTGGAAAACAAACCTATTTTTTTGTTTTCCGCTTCTTTCTTCTCTCTTCTTGAAAGACATCAAAATCTGTACTGTCAAACGTATGCATTCATCCAGATAGACCTCTCAGCTATGTTTATCATAAACAACACGACAGTGATCACAAAAGAGAAAAAAAGCCCCGAAGTCAGGGTTAACAAGGACCAAAACTCGTCCAAACAGAGCTGAAATTACCACTAAATGACAAACAGAAATATATTAAGAATTCTTTTGAAAACAGAAAAATAGATTTGTTGGATTCTGTTGTTGGATTTCATAATTGCATAACAATGATGTTACATCACAATAAAATAAAGGATAAAAATTCATAAAACATGAAATGTGGAAAGGCAACTAAACATGAATAAATTATAAGTTCAGCTGGTCTTGTAAGTTGTTGGGTGACAATCTATACCACATTTCAAACTCAAGGCCCGCGGGCCAACTGTGGCCCGCCATGTCATTTTATGTGCCCCCCCCCCAGCATTTTATAGGCCATGGAAACTCAAATGTAATATTTAAAACTGCAATACATAAAATCAGTTATTT